CAGACCTGGGTGAACTGCGCAGCTACCTTGGCTTGCAGATCACCCGGGACAGAGCACAGCGCACCATTACCCTGACTCAGTCACACATGGTGCAGCAGGTCCTTCAGCGCTTCGACTTCACGTACTCCTCGCCTCAGGCCACTCCTCTGTCTACTCGCCACTCGCTCTCAGCTCTGCCTTCGGATGAGTCCGTAGAGCCGAGTGGCCCGTACCCAGAGCTTGTTGGCTGCCTCATGTACCTGATGACCTGCACACGACCTGACCTTGCATACCCTCTTAGCATCTTGGCACGCTATGTTGCTCCTGGGAGACACCGACCAGAGCACATGGCTGCAGCGAAGAGGGTGTTGCGCTACTTGTGCAGTACGTCGGGCATGGGGCTAGTGCTTGGAGGGCGACGTCGAGTGGTCCTCACAGGTCACGCAGACGCTTCTTGGGCTGACGACCAGGCTACGCAGCGGTCGTCACAGGGTTACACCTTCAGCCTTGGTTCCGGCTCTGTTTCGTGGCGGTCTACCCGCTCGTCTTCTGTTCTCGGCTCCAGCTGTGAGGGTGAGATCTACGCGGGGGCCATGGCTGCACAGGAGCTACGCTGGCTCACCTACCTGCTGACTGACCTAGGAGAGCCGCCTCGTTCTCCTCCAGTTCTGTACGTAGACAACAAGGCCATGCTGGCCTTGTGTCGGGAGCACAGACTGGAGCACAGAACGAAGCACATTGCTCTTCGCTACTTCCTTGCTCGTGAGCTGCAGCAGCGTGGTCAGCTGCGCCTTGCTTACGTGGCCTCTGAGGCCAACACTGCTGATATCTTTACCAAGGCACTTCCGCCTTGTGATCATCAGCGCTTCTGTACGATGCTAGGTCTTGTGCCTACTTGGCCTCACTTGCTCACTTCTTGACCTTGCTTGTACTGTGATCTTTCTATACCTGCACTTGCTTGTTTACCTTTATATATGATCTTGCATGTGAACTGGCCTTGTGGCCCTGAACTTGTGCTCGGAATGTGTGGTGACGTTGTGATCCACCCTGAGCTTGCTTTGCTTTGCTTGACTGGTCTTGTGACCTCTTGTTCTCCCCCACTTTGCCTATGGGGGTGTGTCAAACTCATATGCTATAGTCTGTGTAGGCTGTAGTGGGGTAGACAATATGGGGTACAACACTTTTAGGTTTTCCTACTTGTACCCACCTGTTTGCTAGTTCATCCATTCCTCATTTCTTCACAAGATCACCTCATCATTTCAACTATCGTAAACCTGAAAGCCAAGGCTCTTGATCAACTACCGAACCAAATCAGGAAAAGACGACAACCTTCTTATCCGCGCCGACCCACTTCCAGACGCCTCCAAACGCCCAGTTTTCGTACCCGCCATTGCCAAGATTCTTCACACTGAAACGTCCCTTCTTGTAATACACGGTGAATTTCGATATATCCCCGGAATGCCGCACCTCCACCTGCGCGGACGCCGGGTCGCCCTGCACGGAGTGCTTGCTCTGAATGACCATCACGTTGTACCCCGCGTTCAAGAATAATTCCACGACCGACTGAGTCACCGCGTAGTCACTTGGACCGTCAATCGTGCCAAGCTGCCGTTAATAATCTGTTCCTCGGTCAAATCGTCCCAGCTGAACAATTTCCGCTCCACCCTGAGTGGGGATACCGCGGAATCCGCGCTGGTGTCGGACGGGGACGGGTGAAGGATAGGCCGCGCGCAGCTGGTCCTGGTGACGGCGAGGAGGAGCAGGAGGGAGAGAGTGAGGGGAAGCAGCTTGCGAGCCGAGTGAAGCCAGGTGTCGGCCATTGAGAGATCGGTTCGATGGTCATATCTCAGCTGTCACAGAGGCTAAGAATCAGCAATGAAAAGCTAACCGTACACGTTAATCACACTAGATGATTCAATTGCGTGAGCCGCGAGGTGGCAGGTATGCGAGATCGAAGGCAGGAAAGAGAAAACGAAGGCAGAAGCTGGGATGATTGAGGTGAGTCGCATTGTCTAATTTATAGCCCTTGGCATAGTTCGCACTTGGGGTCCGACTCTGACGTGAAGGCGGTATGCGACTCGCTAGAGCCGCCATGGCCGATGATTAGCATACGGACTACGCTTGGACGTGATTGACACGTGAGAATGGTGTTCCTCGGGTCCGACTAGGCGGTTGTGTTAGAATAGTAGCCTTAGTAGACTAGGGTTTGGGGTAAGGGAGTAGCGAGAGAAACAGGAAGGGGGGTACACTAATGAGAAATATACATGATATAGTTCAAGGGAAGGTGAGCACAATGGTGCACCACCAAACAGTTAAGAACAATGACTACAGTAACTACAGCACGCAGGATATATATTAAACATAACTTTGACAGGTTGGTAGCAGTGATAGGGAATAGCTCATGCGAATTAGTTATCGAAGCGGCTGGCGGTAATGCAGTGGGGGTGGTGGCGAGCTGAGGCGTGTCGAGGGGTGGAAGGGAAGGGGACAAACTGGGCAGGGAGGGAGGTAGGTTGCTTCGCTGCAGGCGAGATTCGGTCCACCAGTTGACGAAATTGATGATGTGGCCTCGCCTGAAGCGAATTGGGGTAACGTGCGTGACTAGGTTTCAAGCTACACCGCGCACTGGACATTTTCACGAGAAGTAAAAGGTAAGCAATGAAAAATTACATTCAGCCTTTTCAACATCTACAGATTGTGAAAGCACATGAATTCATAGCAGACACTAAACTTCTTGGAGTGCTGTCATGTTTTTATCTGAGTATGAAACAAAAGCAGGCTTTGAAATATGGGTGTAAAGATGTCAGAGAGCAACTTCGTGACTGGTGGCAGAGCTCGTTCTCGTAGTAGGTAGTGGAAATGTTGGACTAGTAAGGGAAAGGGGGTACGCATCAAGTGTCGAGAGAGTGATGTACCCCCTACTGTGAACCTCGCTGCAGGCTAGAAACCTCACAACATTTGACACTCGTCTTATACTCGCACGCATATGAAACTCACGGATTTGCGTGTTGGTGTCTCCGTTGGTGGCAGTGGTGACCCGGGGTTCTCTGCCGTTCCCCACCACTCTACGCATACACGACAACTTGCAACCGTAGCTACCCTTGTTGAGTACCTATAACGGTAGCGGTGCAGCTAGTACACAGCAGCAGGCTCAACATGCATTTCGAAACTCTCCACCAGCTACATGTCTCCTCTCACTAAGCATTTCCAACCTTCAAAGTTGCCTACGGTGTGTTATAAACAGTTTTATGGTGTGTTATCCATTGCTGTCAAGGCAAGCATGGATTTTTTGTGACCATTTGTAGTGTAGGCTTGCCTCTGTATGCAGTACCCATTGAAGCACAACCAAGAGCAGTAGTTTCAGCTTTACAATTGTGAAGGTGCAGGTCAAATTGCAGAGGATCAGTGAATTCTTCTGCGGATCAGCATCGTCTCAGGCTCCAAAAAATGACTACAAAAGTCAGGTTCCACAACACATCAACAATGTGTTGTTATGATGAGGTGACCTCATTGTATCAACGAACGCCAAGGCTCTCTGCAACAATTAAACCAGGACAACACGACGACCTTCTCATTCGCACCGTACCGCTCCCAGTTGCCTCCGAACACCCAGTTTTCGTACCAGCCATTTCCAAGATTCTCCACCGAGAACGGGCCCTGCTTGTATATACCGTAAACTTCGAGTTAGGTATCCTAGAAATGCCACACCTCCTCACTTGCGAGGATTCCGGATCGCCCTCTACGGAGTGGCCGCTCTGAATTACCATGACGTTGTATCCCGCGTTCATGATTAGATCCACGATCTTCTGAGTCACCTCGTCGTTTGCTGGACCGTCGATCGTGCCCAAGCTTCTGGCAATGATCTGATCGACCGTCACCCCGTCCTAGCTGAACAGCTTCCGCTCCACCCTGTGCGGGGGCGCGGAATCCGCGCGGGCGAGCGCACAGCGGGTGGCGATGCTGCGGATTGCGCCGGTGGTGGGGGGGAACGCGTGCAGGATGGGGGGCCGCGCGACGTTGGCACTGGTGACGGCGAGGAGGAGCAGGAGGTAAAGAGCGAGAGGAAGCAGCCAAGTGTTGGCCATTGAGAAACCTATTAGTAGATGGTCAGATGTCAGTTGTAGTAAACTTTGTGAGAGAGTAAAAAACAGCGACACCGGCCTCATCTTGCACGCCAAAGCAAGTAAGAACCACAGGGGAATTCAAGTATGTGAGCCGCGAGGTGCTTGGTAACCTAGATCGAAGGTAGAAGGGAGGGAGCGAAGTGAAGGTAGAAGCTGTGAATATTGTGGTTCATCAAACGCGAGTAGTTTATAAACCTTGATATAGTTTGGACTTGGAGTCGGACTCTGACGTGAAGGTGGTTCGCGACTCGCTTGAGCCGCCATGACAAATGACTAGCGTAGGGATTACGCTTGAAACGTGATTGATACGCGAGGGATTGAGATTTTAGGGTCCGACAAGGCGGTCGGGTCGGGAGTCGGGACTCGGCAGGACTCAGGAGGACTCGAGATTTGGGGGGAAAATAGCTACCACTACGGGAATGGCTGCTAGCAGGTGTGGTGTGGTGAGAGTCTGAGAGAGACTGTCTGAGGGTGGAAGTGAGAATCAGCAGGTTGGGCGAGGTGGTTGCTTCGCTGCAAGTGAGAAAGAGCGGCAACTGTCAGTCAGTCGGCGAAATCGATGAAGATGCCCAGGCACTCTTCGCCGAGGCGATTACGGTAACTTGTGCGATGAGGTTTCAGGATAATCCGCATGAGCGTGAGCTACATCGTCATTACAAATCACGAGATCACTACAGCAACCTTCAGGAAATGATTTCACCTCTTTGAACATGTGAAACACCTTCTACCATATGTGCATGCAGATAATGAGTACAAGTCACACTTTCGACACGCTTATTACAAAGTTGAGCCTGCAACTAGAGTTGCTTTCTAATCAGCGCGACAACCCCAAGCCTCTTTGGCGTGGGTGCGATCACTCAATCAACAGAGAATCATGAAGAGCCAGTCTGCAGTCAGTTACGCTGCTGCGCTTTTCACTTCCTCGTCCACAGCAGCGAAGATGGAGGAGAGGTGCCGAGAGTCAATGTGCATCTCCACCAGCCATGCCACCAGACACACCTGCCGGGGGGAAGCCAAGCACAGAGGAGAGCATGGCGTGCAAGATAATTTTAGATCAATGACAGATGGAGGAGACGCAGCGAGAATCAATGTGCACCTCCACCAGCCATGCCACTAGACACACCTGCCACAAAGGGACAGACGAGAAACGTGGTGTGCGGAATAAAATGAAATATCTGACACAATCTAGAGGTTGCCTCTCCTGCAGTGGCTGTGAGGGTTGCGCAATCACGCGAAAAGAGATGAAATATTATTGAGGATTCATGAGAGCGCACCTGTAGCTGTTGTGGGGTGGGAGAGCGGGCAAGCAACCCCGACTGCTCCAACTGATGCTTCACCACCGCCCACTCGCCTCCCTCTGCTGACGCCCACGCCTGTCCCTTCCATCCATTCTGTCCTTGCAACAAGGCAGCCCCTCCCTGAACACGTCCCTCATCACTCTCTCCACCAAACACTGCCTCTGTATCTCCACTACTAGTCCCCATCCCCTCTCCTTGCAAGCACCCTGCTGCGTCGCTCTCTGACTCTTCTTCAATTGCCGCTGGTGCCTCACGGCCGTCCTCGTGTCTTGATGTGGTTGCATCGCCCACTGCTCCTGCTCCTCCTGCTGCTCCTGCTGCTCCTGCTCCTCCTGCTGCTCCTGCTGCTCCTGCTGCTCCTGCTGCTCCTGCTGCTCCTGCTGCTCCTGCTGCTCCTGCTGCTCCTGCTACTCCTGCTACTCCTGCTGCTCCTGCTCCTCCTGCTGCTCCTGCTGCTCCTGCTCCTCCTGCTGCTCCTGCTGCTCCTGCTGCTCCTGATGCTTTCAGCCTGCCTGCTCCTGCTTCCGTCCTTCTGCCCATGCTCGCTCCTTGTTCCATGGCAGCAGCACTAGCATCGAGTGCAGCAGCAGCCAGACACTCAGCCGCAACAGCTCTGGGAGCAGGCGCAGTGGCAGATGGCTGGCCAATGTATGGCAGGCACAATGGAGGGATGTTGAGGGGGAGTTTGATCCGGCTATGGGAGGTGGTGATTGGAGTGGTGGTGCTTGGAGCGGTAGTGGTGGTGGTGGTGGTGCATGCAGTGGTGCCTTCAAGGCTGACTGCTGCGTTGTGCGAAGAGACAATGAGACGCTGGCGGGGAGGAATGGGATGCACGAGGAGGAAGAAGGGACGGGAGGGACGGGGGATGTGAGATGGTGGTGGTGCAGTGATGCACACAGATGGGAAAAGTACAGAGGTTACTTGAGAAGTGAAGGTATAACAGAATCGGAGAACAGCATGTTTTGCATAGGTGTGCAGGTCATTAGGACATGCCTGATGTATTTCTTTGATTTCTACAAGCAGTTGTTTGGCTAACTGCTTCCATCCATCTCACCTTCACCAGCAGCTCGCTGTGAAACATGCTTGCCACGTCCACAGCCCACCTCTCTGATGCACGTGCGAGGAGGGAGAAGTGTGAGGAGCGATGGAGAGGAGAGACGGGCAAGAGATTTCAGTATGCTTAATGGCAAACGAGAGAGCAATACAGCTGACAAGTCGATGAGAGGATTGGGAATGGCAACGAACCAAAAACTGAGAGATGGAGAGCAGTGAAGATGGGTTCGTCAGGGTACATGTCTCTCTCCTGCCACGCCTCCTGCCATGCCTCATTTGCATCCCACACTGCTGCTGAAGGGGAGGGTGACACTGAAGCTGCTGATGCTGTTTGGAATCGCGATGGCATTGATGATGGTGATGGTGCTGATGCTGCTGTTGCTGGTGCTGGTGCTGGTGCTGCCGACACTGGCACTGGCGCTGCCAGTGATGCAGCAAAAGTGAAGGGCGCAACTATGGATTCAGGTGCTGCTGGGGGGAGGGCCGTTGTGTCAGGTGCATGCAGGGGAGGTGGTATGTGGGGGGGCGGGCAGAGGGGCAGCAGGGCAGGGACGAGGGCGTCGACAGCTACATCCTGTGGTATATGGGGAGGAGGAGAGGGGGAGAGGGGCGGAGGAGAGGGGCGGAGTTGTCAGTAGCGGACAGGTGGGCTTTGAGACCCAACTCTCATAACCAGCACTTAGCAGGGCAGGGACGAGGGCGTCGACAGCTGCAGCCTGTGCGGTTGGTTGAGTTAAGGAGAGAGGAGAAGAAGGTGGGGAAGCAGAGGGAAAGGAGAGATGATGGTGGGTGGGGATGCGAGTGGAACCAGGGCATGGGAGGATGGCGAATCAGGAGGAAAGGGAAAGGAAAGCTGACAGGAGGGTCTCGTTTCTCTCGCCCCACCCCCCTTCATTGACTCACAAGGTCTTTCAAGCAGCGATGCAGCGCGCACAGATCCTCCTCCTGATGGAACATGGAGGCATTGCATCCAGTGCCATGCCATGCTGTGCCATGCCATGCCGTGCCATGCCATGCCATGCAGCAGAAGATGGCATTTGCAGGAGCAGAGGAGGGCACGAGCAGATTGAGCAAAGAGGGGGAGCGGGGACGAGAACAGAGGAGGATCGGAGGAGAATGGGAAGGAGAGTGATGTGATGTGAGTGAGGAAGGATGATAGAGGGTTCAGCAAGAGGAGGAGAGGCGGGGAGGAACGGGAGGAAGTAAGTTGCGGATGGGGTGAGTGAGAAAGGAAAGGGAGGGCGTAGAGAAGACACACCCTGCTTCCATTGTAGTGCCGAGCCTTTACAGTACAGTGAAGCACGCTACAACAAGTCACAAAAAATGGATGCAATACAACGAGTCACAATAGAACGAATCGCACTACAACGAGTAGTACCATGAGCACCATGAGGCGTCGGATCTTCTCTGCTGCCCTCGCTACAATGCCCACCATGCCTTTCACCGCCTCGAGGTCCTTCTCCGGCAGCTGCCTGCACGAGCAGTGGAGAGTGCAGAAATGCGCAGGAGAGTGGAGAGGGGTCGAGAAGAGAGGGGAGGAGTAAATCTCAAGGCATGATTTCATTGCAGCTCTGGCCACGATGCCCTCCATGCCCCCCACCGCCCCCATGTCCTTGTTGGGTAGCTGGCTGCGCGCAGTCAGAGAGGAGTGAAGAGGAGTGGAGAGGAGTGAAGAGGAGTGAAGAGGACTGGAGAGGAGTGGAGAGGAGTGGAGGGAAAGTGGAGCGGTTCCCAGGTATGTTCACCACCTATTTACATCAGTGCCATAACCTGTGCTACATAATCCATCGCTCATCGTCTGTACTCGATATGGTTATACTCGCTATTAACACGCAATGCCTGGACTCACTTCAGCTGCACCAATCGGTTCACGACAGCTGTCGCCGCGCGCAGCCCGTCCGCCGAGGCGGCGTCCCACTGCTTCCGCGCCCCAGACGCGGCGGAGAACGCGGAGCGCACGCGGCGCTGCTGGCGGCACCGCCAGAGATGGAAGGGGAGCGGCGGAAGGGGTTGGGCGGAAGGGGGAGGCGCGGAGAGGGGAGGCGCGGAAGGGGGAGGTGCGGAAGGGGGGGATGCGGGTTTAGCTGGCAGCGGCGGAGTCCATAACCCCGCGCGCACCGGAGGCGCGGAGGCCATAGGGAGGGCGAAAGGGCAGTTGTGGCGCCAGAAAACGCGTAGCGCGGAAGGCGGAAGAACAGCCGCAAAGAATGGTCAGGTGCCGGAGAAGTGCTGGGAGGAAAGCAGGGAGTTGCCACGGCGAACGGATGATAGGTGGTATGCTACGGCGCGGTGCGTTACAGGGAGACAACAGAAGCACATAGTTCGCTAACCGGGTAACCGCATGCCAATCCTTCAGTCCTTGCTGTAGTGGTCTCACCTCCTCATGCTTCCGCTCACCGCCCGCCTTCATCCCTCTCTCCTTCCCCCCATCTCACCACACAGCTCTTCGTTGCGCAAGCCAAGTTCGGCGCCTCGTTATGCAGCAAGCGCTACACAGTCAAGTCAGGCGACACGTGTGCGGCCATAATTTACAAGTACTTCCGCGGGAAGACCTCGTACGTCAGCAAGCTCAACAACGGCTTCGTCTGCACCTCCTGCTCGCTCTACGTCGGCCAATCCCTCTGCGTCTACAACCTGTGACCGTTACTGCACGGCTGAGTGCTGGTTGGTAGCGGCTCAGGTGAGTGCATACCATGTCACCAAGCTCAATAGCGGCTTGGGCTATGTGTGTTGCTCTTGAATGCTCCACTTTGGGCTCTTCTGCAAATATTTCGGTACCTGTAACTGTAGCCGCTTAGTGTAGAAATTTATTTGAACAATGTGTAATTATAAGCTTGCAGACATGCTTCAATGTTTTGCACATGAGAACCGTGGAAACTACCAGTACATACAAGCAGCATCCGCTCAAAACCTAATCACATCCGCTAGGACTGATCTGACGCCAACCCTCAGGAAACACTAGCATAGTGAAAGAATGAGGATTCTTCAGGAGAACACGACGACCTTCTCATCCGCGCCGTAGCGCACCCAGTTGCCTCCGAAACGACCAGTTCTCGTACCCGCCATTGCCAAGATTCTCCACAGAGAAGGGGCCCTGCTTGTAATATACCTTGAACTCGGAGTTATCCCAGAAGTGCCACACCTCCACCTGCGCGGACGCCGGGTCGCCCTGCACGGAGTGGTCGCTCTGAATGACCATCACGTTGTACCCCGCGTTCATGAATATCTCCACGATCTTCGTCGTCACCTCGTCGTCCTCTGGACCGTCGATCGTGCCCAGGCTGCCGGCAATGATCTGATCGACGGTCACCCCGTCCCAGCTGAACAGCTTCCGCTCCACCCTGTGCGGGGATACCGCGGAATCCGCGCTGGTGTCGGAGGGGGAGGGGTGCAGGATAGGCCGCGCGGCGCTGGCGTTGGTGACGGCGAAGAGGAGCAGGACGGAGAGAGTGAGAGGAAGCAGCTTGCGAGCCGAGTGAATCCAGGAGTTGGCCATTACGAAAACGGTGTCAAACTGTCAGCGGTGAAAAGCTAACCGTACACGTTAATGCGAATGAGAATCACACAGGAGGATTCAAATCCGTGAGCCGCGAGGTGCTTGGTATGCGAGATCGTAAGTAGGAAAGAGAGAACGGAGGCAGAAGCTGTGATGATTGTGGTGATTTGCAGCTTTTAATATATAGCCCTTCCCATGGTTCGCACTTGGAGTCGGACTCTGACGTGAAGGCGATATGCGACTCGTTAGAGCCGCCATTGCCAATGATTAGCGTACAGAGTACGCTCGGAAACGTGAAAAATAGAGTTCCTCGGGTCCGACTAGGCGGTTGGTAGAGGAAAAAGGGAGTTGCTAATGCGCACAGTAAGCTGAGTGAGGGTGGTGAGCTGAGGCGTGTTGAGGGGTGGAAGGCAAGGGTGGAAGTGAAGGGGACAATCAGGGAAGGGTAGGGAGAGAGGTTGGTTACTTCGCTGCAGGCGAGAGTCGTTCCGCGCGTTGGCGAAATCGATGATGTTGAGCACACATCGAGAGAATTACTGTGGAACCATGTTTGGTAATTCCTTCTTACTCGCGTGATCTTGAATTACTTGAGTGGCCACCAAAATTGAGGATAATTACTCGAGTGGCCATGCCAGGGGATTCCGACCCACTTTCTTTCCCGGCGCATTACCCTACGGGGGTTTGTAGCCCTGAATGTTTGTCTTGGTTATTGCGCTTTCATTTATATCCGAATTTTATGTTCGTGACCCTATATGACCGCGCCTGACTGGACGCGCATATAATCAACCAATCATGCGCGGCCATTAATGGCCGCGAGCATCATATCTTAATGCCCGATCATATATTTCCTCGATCACAAACTGCAATGCCCAGGATTTAATGCGCGGGATTTAATGACCGCGCATGATTGGTTAATTATATGCGTGGCCTTTTTTTCGCAATGCGCGTCCAATCAAGCGCGGTTATATAATGTCACGAACATAAATTTCGGATAATGAAAATTGCGCAATAATGATTGCAAAACTTTCAGGGCTACAAACCCCCGTAGGGTAATGCGCCGGGAAAAAAAGCGTGCAGGAATCCCCTGGCGTGGCCACTCGAGTAGTTATAACCAAATTTGGTGGCCACTCGAGTAATTCGAGGTCATGCGAGTAAGAAGGAATCACCAAACACGGTTCTACAGTAATTCTCTCGCACACATCGTTTGAAGAGATTTGGGGTAACGAGCACGATGAGGTTTCAAGCTACACCGCGTCATTGACATTTTCACCAGAAGTAGAGAGTTTCAATTTTACAAATTACATTCAGCCATTCCAGCTTCTACAAATTGTGCATGCAAAGGGATTCATATAGAAAACTAAACGCTTAGGAGAGCAATCATATTTTTCCTCTCCCAGAAACCAAAACAGGTTTTGATTTGGCTTGGGTAGCGATGTCAGCAAAACGCTGTGACTCGTGGCAGAGCCCATAGACCATCTTTTACTCTCATGCAGACGAAATGAATGGATTTGTGGTGGTGTCCCAGGCTTCCCTACCGCTCTCCACCGCTCTACATCTACATGACAACCAGCAACGATAGCCAACCTTGTTGAGTGTTCCTATAACGAAAGCGGTGCAGCCCGTACACGTCAGTAGGCTCAACAATGATTTGGTGTGGGCCTCTCACTTCGCATTTCCAGCCTTCAATGCTGTCTGTGGTTGTATCAAACAGTTCTATGGTGTGCTATAAGCCATGGCTGTCTGTCAATTCATGGTTTTTGTCACTAAACATACTGTGGAATTGCTCAGTATGTGCTGTTGGAAACAAGTAATTAACGCTTCTTATGTCTCGCAACATCAGACTGTAAACGAGGCGAACTACAGCGAAGCAATGGCGAGTCAACCAAGGAGGTTGACAGAGAGAGTAATAGCCAGAGGTTTGTCAAGATAGCAAGCAGGAATGACTGCATTGAAAGGATTGTGGGTACAAGTACTAACCTTAACATTGGGTTGTACTCCAGACAGGCTACCCCACTATAGCCTACACAGAACTAGCACATATATAGTTTGACACACCCCCATAGCCAAAGTGGGAGAGAACAAGGGGTCACAAGACCAGTCAAGAGAGCAAAGTGATCCGGACGAGTGCAGGTCATAAGGTACATGAGGCAGCGCACTAGCTCTGGGTACGGACCTCTCGGCTCTACAGACTCGTCCGAAGGTGGAGCTGAGAGCGAGTGACCTGTGGCCAGGGGAGTGGACTGTGGCAAGGACCAAGTGAAGCCGAAGCGCTGAAGGACCAGCTGCACCATGTGTGACTGAGTCAGTGTAATGGTGCGCCGTGCTCTGTCCCGGGTGCTCAGCAGTGGCAAAGACCAAGTCCTCGACGTACACGAAGAACGGCGGCAACGAAGTGTCGGTGCGCAGAAACAGCGACAGGTTAGCAGTGGAAGGTGCGAACCCAAGAGCTGCAAGTGTCGTCCTCAGTGTGTCGTGCCACTCACGAGGCGCCTGTCAGAGACCGTAGACCGGCCGGCGGAGGCTCTACTGGGTACCAGGAGGGAACTACCCAGTGAAGCCAGGTGGGCGGCTCAGCCAGATCTCCTCGTGCAGACTGCCCTATAAGAACGCTGTGCTGAAGTTGAGAGAGTGGAGCTCGTAGTCACGCTGAGCAGCAACGTGCAGCAGCACCCGAAGAGTGGTCATGTTTGGGGTGGGGGAGAAGGTCTGGAAGAAGTCAACTCCCTGTCTCTGACAGAAGCCTCGTGCAACGTAACGAGCCTTGAAGACAGGCGGAGAACCCGGCGGCCGCTTCACCCTGAAAATCCACATGCCATTGACTACGTTCGCCCTATGAAGGGGAACCTCGTCGACGTAAGTGCCTGTGGACTTCCAGGATGCCATCTCTGCGTCCATGGCTGTCTGCCACTGAGAGGAGTACTCACCCGCGATCGCCTCAGCGTAAGAGCGCGGGGTCGGGATGTTTGGAGCATTCGGGCCTCCCTCAGGGGCAAGCAGCATGGCCACGAGATGAGGCGCAGCGGCTGCAAGACACTCAAAGTCCTCCTGCCTGTACTGAAGGACGTCCGTGCCAAGAGCACACTCACCCCCTACGGACGGAGGTTAGACAGACTCACACTCAGCAACAAGACTAGCAGCGAAGTCTAGACGACAGGCAGCAGCAAAGTCAACAAGCTCAGAGACTAAGGCACACGCAGCAGCAGACTCAAACGACGGGCCATTGACAACTGTTGCTAGCAGACGCGTGACAGTAGGGTGAGCAGCACGAACCAGGTCAGACTCAGGGTCCTGAACGTCAGGCACAGAAGACGCAGGAGGAGACGGCAGGGGAACACGCTGTGGAACAGAGGAAGGATGAAGTGCAATAGTGTGCGTGCCGAGGACAGGAGGAGGACGCTCACGAGGAACACGACGACCAGTGCGACCAGCGTGAACAGGCGAGGCAAGATGAGACGCAGGCTCACGACGC